ATTTAACTATTATTGATTTTCTTCTTGAATTGTTGATTCTGTAAATGGTTTCAATTATTTTGTAAGTTTTCTCTCAATATTACTTATGTTCTCTTATACTTCAAATACACTTTATTAATCTGAATCAAATTTAGTTGTTATTGTTGAAAGCTATTATCTTAATTAAGCAATATCATTTTAAATTTCTAAAAGAACTTTGATTTTTTCTTTTATGAATAAAATATTTCCTTCTGATAAACTCCAATTTATTTGCTTTTGTGGAGTAATTAAATCTAAAGAAGCAAGTGCTTGTTTATAATAATCCGCTGAAAGAATGTAATTTTATTCTGAATAATAAAGATCTCCTAAATTGGCTAGTATAAGTGGATTATCAGATTAAAAATTTAATGCTTAAAGATAATCAGAAACTGCTAAGTCATTTTAATTATTTTCTTTATATAGGTTTCCTAATGAATATAATACAAAAATGATTACCTCTGTTATTATAAACGTTAGAGTCAGTAGAATCCAATTCTATTGCTTTGTTATAATCCAAAAGTGCTTATTATTTATTTCCGATCTGTTTATAAAGGGCACCTATTCAAATTTTCAAATTGATTACCTCTAGTATTATAAGAGTTAGCATCATTAGGATCTAATTAAATAGCTTTATTATAATCTAATAAGGCTTAGTCTATTTTTCCAAGTTCTTTTTATAGAATTCCTCTCAATAAAATATAATAATTACCTCTGTTGCAATAAGATTTTGCATCATTAGGATCTAATTCAATAGCTTTGTTATAATCGAAGAGAGCCTACTCTTTATTTCCCATTTCATCAGAAAGAACTCCTTTTCAATATTAGTTATTAATAACCTCTGTTAATATATGCTGAACAACAATTTTCGTCTACTTCTATTGCCTTATTATAGTATTATAATGCTTCGTCTTAATTTCCCATTGCAGCTTTAATACTTCCTAAATATATTTAAAGTTTCTTTACCTATTCTCATATATGGCATTGCATATTTAGGATTAATCTTTATTGCATTTTCACAATCTGTCAATGCTTCTATTAACATTCTCTTTCTAAAAAATACAGTTGCTAATAATAAATTAAATCATATTTTACCTCTATAATAAAGAATTTCTTCATTTTAAGGTTCTAATTGAACAGCCTAATTTAAATCCTCTAAAGCTTGATCATACAGATAATTTTTTAAAAATAATTATCCTAAAGTAATTATGATTACAATAACCTCTTAGTGCTAAAGCTTTTGAATTTTAAGGATAGAGAATCAAAGCATCATTAATCAATTTTAAGGCCTCCTGAATCTTTTAATCTTTAAGTTTAACCTAATCTATAAATTCAAATAATTTACTTAACTAGCCGAATACAATTCTTCAGCTTGAAGATAGTTTTAGTTTTATTCTTATTAATATTTTGATTCTTGAAATGACATATTTTACATATATGAATAATTTGAATGAGAATATGAAATGATTTTTAATAATATGGCTTAATTATTACTGATTACATTCGAACAATAGAAAATATAAATAAATATAATTCTGTTATTAAACAACTTGAATAAATTATAACTATAAATTAAAATATAAATCTAGTTTTTAAAAATATTTTAAAAATCTTTATTAAAATAAATAGATTGTCAAATTTAAAACTTGTTTTGAATGAAAATAATTAATTCCAATATCCTTTAATTAAAGAGAGATCAATATAAAAATTTTTCTAAAATTAAATTTACTATTTAAAGAAAATAAACTTATTACATCGATTTATATATTTATTTTGTAAAGAAAAAAAATTAATTTTAATACTTTTTTTTTAGATATATATCAATTTAATATCAAAAATATTCATATTATTTAATTAGATAATAATTAAAATCATCACTATGCACAATAGTTTCAGCGTATATATCTAAAAGTTTAAAAAATAATTTTTCATTAAATTTTTATTTAATTCAGAATTAATTACACTAATTCCGATTTAATGGCTTTAAGGTTTAAAAGAGCGTTAAATTATAACTGCATATAAAACTAAAATTTGTATGAATGTTTTTAATTCTTTTTTTAAAATTATTTCATTTTTAGCAATAGCAATTAAGAATTGAAACTATAAACAAATTATGATGATTTGAAGATAAAAATATTATGATTTATCATAATAAAATTAAAGATATCATATAAATAAGAAATGATAAAAGTTAAAAAAATAAATAAAAAGCAGAACAAATAGAAAAAATAATCAAATTTGGATGCATAAGAAAATTAAAATGAAAAGAAAAATGCAAGTTCAAATAATTTAAAATTTAGTATTTCTTACTAATAAGATTTTTTATTTCTTATTTATGAAATAAAATTTCCCTTAAATATTATGTATTAATTTTACTTTTTCTAATGACATAAGTGATTGAATTTACTAAAAATCATTACAAAGTGATTGAATTTACTAAAAATCATTACAATTATACATTTAAAAATGTTAAAAATGAGAATTGTGAAAACAAATTGAGATATATTTGATACAAGAATAGTATTTATATGAATAATACTACATCCAAAATCCATCACTTATTTTTTATCCACTATCCAATCTTTTATGAACCTTCACTATCATATTTTCTACCTCCTCTATTTGTTATTTTTACTAAATTTTTTGAAAAAAATAAAATTAACATTAATGTGAAATTCGACACTCAATATTTTGTCATCATAAATACCTTTTTTTTTCATAATTTGTGATAAAGATTTAACAGATTATAATATAATCTTACATTAATATCAATTATTAAATCTCCCATCCTTCTCAAAATAGGTATCCCAAAGTCCGACTTTTTTCCACTATTATATTCACCATTATAAATGATTTAGCTTAGTCTATAAATCAAAAGAAACAATAATACTACCAAAATTCATCACTAATTTAAGTCCATTTACAATATTTTTAACTTCAAGCGTCTAAATATCCACCTCCGCTATTCAACTCTTTCCACAAGCCTTACTTTTATCCGTCTTGATGTATAATTTTTCAAAATTAATCATATTATTCTTCTTTCATATCCACAAGTCAATTAATTGTTTTCCTTTCCAATATGCAGTCCTATTACCAATATTTTGCATTTGAGGATTATAGTTTCCATACCATTGAATATTTTATATTTATTCTAAATTTTAGGAGCAATTAAGGGTTTGGGTAAAATTTTCTCTAAATTAATTAGTTCCAGTATTTTACATTCTTAGGATTTATTCAAAAAATATATATGATCTCCTTTTCTTTTGGTAGTAAATATTGAAATTTTATTTTCACCAATCTAATTTCTCAAATTCTTATGTACCATTATTTTTCGGTTAGTTGATCTTATTTCAATCTCTCTATATAAGTTAGTTAATTAAGAACTGATGATTTATGTTTGAGTTCATAATAAAATTAATTCTTATGATACTCAATAAAAACATAATTCTAATTCTAAATATGATATTTAAAGTAGTAATCTTAGTTTGGATAATGTAAGATTAAAATCCATAATTCAAAGTAAAATATTAAAAATTAAAATAATAATTAGTTTAGATTATTGTAAATTTTATAATATTTGAATAATTAGATTATATGATAATTTTGGTGAATTTTTCAATATCAAATATATGAAGTTTTCTTCTTAATCATATTTCTTAAAATTATCTAACTTAAATTTCAGATTACTTTTGATGAAAAGTAATCAAATATTTTCCATCAAGGCTAAGAATAGCCTTCAAGAAACCAGGTTAGAAATCGATTTGTAATTCTTTCTCAATTTCAAAATTTTCTTTTTTTTTAAATGATTACTTTTTATTGCCTTTTATTCGAAAAAAACTTAAAAAAAGATTTCCCTAAAGTATGAGTATATTTCTATCTTTAAAATAAAAAGGATTTATGTCATAATATTACTATCCCAAAGAAACTAAAAAATTAGCTTTCTTGGTGTAATTATTTACAGAATTAAGTCTATATAAATATAATTATTTTCCATCATATGGAACAAATACAAAGTTCTTATCATTAATAAACTATAGTTAGCGACCCCAAATTTCGATTTTAATGTTTTAAATCACTATCCACATTTATGTAGCTGATGACTTTTGGATAACCAAAATATTTTAATTAATACTACATGAGATTAACTTATCTCCTTATTCATTAATAGACAATGTGGCAATGGCTTTTTCGAAATCCTTTATCGTTTACTAACAGTACCATTATTAATCAGATATGTTTCTTATTTATTCTTCTTTATTTGATTTAAATGGAGTCCAAAATTTAATTTATGAGTCTTCACCTCCTGAGACTATAAGGGTATTCTAAACATTAAATATAATACAACTAACTCCATTGATATGCCCTGATAATTTTTAAATAAACTTGCCTTTTGAAATTAGTTGTTTGGACCAAATGAGAATTGAAGAATCTTCTGAACCTGTAACAAACTAGTCTTTTTGTTTTGGAAAAAAGCTTAAAACTGAAGTTCTATTATTTTTAAGTAATTAGATTTGTTTTAATCCCATTCCTCCATTAAATTAAAAAACTCTAATTGTTGATTCTTCTGAAAATAAAAAAATTGAATTTTATTAGTTTATCGCCATACATATTTCCCACCTATATCTTTATGGAATGAGATTTTAAGAAATAATTGAGTATTTGATTGATTTTTAAGGTTATTAGGGTTCATTTTGTTGCATAATTTGATTAATTGCTATAAATAAGCAAATAATATTAATTTAATTCTTAAGAATGTAAATTTATAAAAAGATTATAAGAAAAGTTTAAAGTATTAATATTAAAATTCATTTTAATAATAATAGCTATCTTATAAAGTTTTAAATCACAATTTTTAGAGGTATACTATAAATAGAATAAAATAGATTCTTTATTACAACAATGAGATTAACTAATCTCGATTATTATTGAAAATTAATTTGTATTAAAAATTACTTTATACTAAAAT